CTCGCTGGGTGCCGAGCTGTGGAGTCACGCACCAGAGCCGAAAGTCGGGCGCCCCTGGGAGCCCTAGACCCAGTTGCGGGTGGAAGGCAGGAGCTGACTCTGTGGTAGGCAGACTGAGCAGGCGTGGGGTGCTATCCAGGAGGTCACCATCACACATGTCCAAGTTCAGCTGGCAGATCTGTCTGCCTACATGACTTCCTCTTCTCCTAGCTCCTGGTCAAGACGTGTGCCAGGCCCAGTCTACCTAACACCTTCTCCAGGAAGCCTTCCCAGTCCTCCACCCTAACTGTTGTTAGTAAATACAAATCAGTAATAATTAAAAGGGATTGGGCCCAGCGCGATAGCATAGCAAATAAAGTCCTCGCCTTGAACGCTCTGGGATCCCATATGGTCGCTGGTTCTAATCCCAGCAGCCCCGCTTCCCATCCAGCTCTCTGCCTGTGGCCTGGGAAAGCAGTCGAGGACGGCCCAAAGCCTTGGGACCCTGCACCCATGTGGGAGACCTGGAAGAAGCTCCTGGCTCCTGGCTTCGGACTGACTCAGCTCTAGCCGTTGCGGCCGCTTGGGGAGTGAATCATTGGATGGAAGAGCTTCCTCTCTGGAAATCTGACTTTCCAAATAAAAATAAATAAATCTTTAAAAAAAAGAGAGAGAGATCAAGTCTGCCCCCTTCGCACATGTATTCCAGCCTCCTGCCAACGCATAGTCCAGGAGGCAGCAGGGCATGCCTCAAAGAACGGGGTTCCCAACCCCCGCCTGGGAGGCCCACCTGGCTTTCCGGCTCGCAATGCACACCTGAGCCCAGCTGTAGCTGCAACAGGCATCTGGGGAGCAAGCCGGGGCAGGAATCTCTCCCCTCCCCCACACAAAAAACCCGTCCAGGTCTGCCCTCCCTCTGGGATAGCGCCTGGGTCTGCCTGCCTCACCCAGCCTGAGTCGGTTCCCCAAACCAGCCCTGCCCCTCCCCCTGGCCTCACCGCAGGCAGGTCTCAGCACCCCTCAACCCCACCCTCTCTTCGCAGTCTTCAGCCCTCCACCCTTCCTGCCCTGCACCTGCGCACCCCTGACACATGAACCTGACCCTGAGGTTAATTCAAGGCTTGGGGGGTCTACATGACCCTATAGTCGAGCCCACGGCACAAGGTCCCTGGCAGCTCTTGTCCAGGCTGCCGACCTTGCCTGGAACTACAGTTTCCACGTCTTCCATCCTGCTCCTTGTGGCTCACCCTGCACCCCAAAGTCCCAGACAGGTGCCATTTCCAGATGACCACAGACACTTGACTTCCTGCTTTGCCAGGACCTCCTCACCCTGCACCCCCGACTCTGGCCCACCATCTTCAGTCATTGCTGTCTGCTGATGAGCCCCCTTCCACCTTGGGAGTGGGCCCCGGGTGCACACAGGGACACCTGTTACCCAGCTTAGGACCAGCCGTGGTGCTGACCTACTTACGAGGCTGTGATTAATACCGTGGGAGAGGGAAGATTTCCTGGTGTCCAGCCTTGGGAACCAACCCAAGGGCATGCCTGTCTCCTGAGGGCCTTTCTCTTCAGGATGACCCTTATGGGAGGTTAAGTTTGAAAACACACAAAGCTGTTTGCCTTTCAGAAACGAGCCATGGAGCTGGGCCAGGCTGCACTTGATCCAGACAGGTGCAGGCAGGCCTCGGATGCTGGCACAGGCATGACCCGGCCACACATGTGCAGGTGCACCCTCAGGAAGGGGCAGCCATGGACACGTGGCTGGACATGGAGGCACACACCAGAAGCATCCTCCAACAGCCAGGTCCCCTAGGACGTGTGTCCCTGCGCTCCCCACGTGGACGGATAGAAAGATACAGGAATCCACAGGCACATGCATTCAGAGATGTGGACACAAAACCACATATGCTAACCCCCAGGTGTCCAAGAAGTTCATGGGCCCACACAGACACATCAACACATGCGTGCACACAAACCCAGGAGGGAGTGCCCACTCGGACAGGGATATCCGGGAGAACTGGATGGAACAGTACAGACACAGGATCCAGCACACAGGAGCCAGAGCAGGTGGCCGGCGCGTGGAGGATGCAGGGGGAGAAGCCACGAGTTCTGTGTAGCTCCAGGCCAGTGCACAGTACTCAGAGGGTCCACTGCCCACGGCCCCTCTTCAGTGCTACCCACCCAGCCTCCCCCCAGGGGAGGCTCAGACCATCCATTCCTATTCTGCATGGTGGCAGGGAAGGGTGGGGGCGGAAGGCTTGGCTGTCCCAAGAAGGGATGGGGAGAGACTTTCCCATAAGTCTCTCTCTCCCTTTGTGCTTTGCCCAAGGAGGTGCTCCAGGGGCTTGGGAAGCAAGGGTTTGAGACCTGGAGGGGGCTGAAGGAGGCCCCCCCAGGTGTCCCCTTCCTCCCGCAGACCAATGTTGTTGCGTGACATAAGATGGCTGATATTGACGTTGAGAGGTGGCTGATGGCGAGCTCTCACGTGCACCACCCCATGCATGCCTCTCTGTGACACCCTGGAGTTAGGCTTGGGGGTGGGGGTGGGAAAATTAGGCTCCAATAGGTGAAGTCACCAGCTCCAGGTCACCCCTCAAACAAAGCATGAGTGAGGCCCAGCTCTCCAATGCAAAATGGATGCTCTGACCCATTCATCCAAAAAAGGGGTGTGGATGGCGGCGGAGGGCTCCCCCGTGCTCCCCACTGGCTCTCTGTCGCCTGCACGTGGCTCTGCCATGTGACAGCAGACAGCAAGCCCTCGCTCCACACGATAGGGTCATCAGCTAGGACAAACCCTCTCGACCTCGCTGTCTCCGAGCACTGTTCCCATCCCCACCCCCTCCTTGGCCAGCCCGTTTGAATGCTCAGCGCCCTTCCTCGTGCCAACTTCTGCCAAGATGACCTCCCCCCCCCCGTTTTAGTTGGGGGAGAGGGAAGAGGCGGTGCCCAGGCAGGGAGCCAGCCCAGGTGCAGGCTGGTGACCGGGATTAAGGGAATGGATATCCACCGGCGTTAATCTTCTTTCCCCACTCCCTCCCCCTCCAAAATCAACAGCTTCCCTCTTCCTGCAGAACACCCTGAATAGGATGCCAGGCCTGGGAGTGCCAACCTCACCCAATGCCACTTTGTCCACAGTTGGTGAGGACTCAACTCCAGCTGCCCAACCTCCAGAGCCTGCCCCGTGCCCACCGGGTGGTCTCCTGCAAAATGGAGTTGCAGCTAACATGGAACCCACACGAGGCTCATGACACAGCCAACAAGGTGCCACTCCCTGGGACCACCCGAGCCAGCACACAGCAGCTCTGGGTACCACAGCTGTGTGCCTCTACTAACGTTCTTTTGGTGCCAAGTCCAATGCCATCGGACACATCATTGCCACCCCGGTGGAGAGCTGGTGTGGGTGTCTCAGCACCAACTCGATGCCCCTCCCCAGTGCATGCCCCATGGCCACTGCTGGGCTAGTCTCAGCACCCGCTGGCCCCCAGGCGGGCTGTTCAGTCCACAAAGGAAGAAGGGAGGGAAGAGCAACTCCAGACCCTCACCGCCTCTGGGACCCCACGGGGATGTCCTGGAGTCCCAGGCCCTCTCCTGGGACACTCAGCCCTGCCTGCCAACAGCAGCCAGGAACTGCACCTGGGCGAGAAATGGCCTCCTCCTTATCCCCCACCACCCAGGACCCTCTCTCACCAGTGGGGAAGGAAATGCTAAGGTTGTGGTGGTGGAGAAAGCAACAGGTGCACAAGGCCTCTGGCTCCAGGCACTCTCTCATGTGCCCCCCGCCCCACCAGTCCCACCACATGTCTGTCAGAAAGGAGAGACACATCTCTCAGAAAACGACAATGACACAGCAAGCCCATCCTTGGGGCAGCACAGCCAGGAGTTATAACCAGGAACAGCTGCAGCTTTCCCATCCTATCAGGGATGGCCTTGGCTGTTTTCTTCCCAGTCCTGGCCAGCTCTCTGCTCCCCGTGACCATGAGTTCCAGCCCCAGGACGCGTGCCGCCAATGTGGCACACAGTGCTACACAATTCCCCCAACCCCCACCTCAGAAGGGTGGATGTGGATCCAACAGCCTCCACCCTGGCCTTATGCTCAGGCACCAACGAAAATTCTGAGCCTCGAGAGGCAGCAGGCCACAAAGCAGGTCTACCACCCCACTTTGCTTGTTCTGCTCCTCTCAGGCACCCCAGGGCCCCGGGTCCTTCCTCGCCCCAACAGCTTCAAACCCACACCCTTGCACCTGTGCACCTCTGCACCTGTGACCTGTCTCACTGCAAGACTCTCAAATGTCCAGCCATGTATCCCATCTCATCCTTAAACTCTCCCAAACTTTCAGTTCTTCTCTGCACCACCTTAGGAGTTCCCTTCTCATGCGAAGACCCCCAAACCTGAAGCCCACCTGGCTTCCTTAGGTAACCCGTCCAAAATCTATTGTAGCCTAGGCTTCAGTCCTGGCTGCTCCGCTTCCCATCCAGCTCCTTGCTAATGCATCGGAGGCACAGCAGAGGACGGCTCAAGGGGCTCAGACCCCCGCAGACCCAGATGGAGTTCTGGGCTCCTGGCTTCCGTGTGGTCCAGTTGTGGCCACTGCAACCATTTGGGGAGTAAACGTACTGAGGGAGAACCCTCTCTCCTCTCTCTAACTGCCTTTCAGAGAAAACAAATAGATCTTTAAAACAACAACAGCAGCAAAGATCTTTAGTTCTGGGAATTGTCCTACTGTACCCTTCTCCTCCCCGCCCCCATCCACAGCCCTGCAAGTGGGGGGAGTGTGGAGTGGCGTGCTTCCCTGACAGCCGCCACCAAGTCAGTCCTGGAGGTTTCTCTCTATTCATCCACGCTGGTCCCCTGTCCTCTCTCCTTGCTGGCTGTGTTCCAACCAAGGCGGAGTGCAGAGTGAGGGGTGTAGTTGGGAGATCAGGCGAGACCATTACATAACGAGGATCGAAGTCCGCCCTTCAGTCCGAAGTCGCATAAAAGGAAGACATCCCGGTCACCGCCATCACACGGTCCCTCTCACCACCACCATGCTGGCCTCCGGGCTGCTGCTGGCGGCCTTGCTGGCCTGCCTGACCCTGATGGTCTTGGTGTCCATCTGGCGGCAGAAGAAGCTCTGGGGGAAGCTGCCCCCAGGGCCCACGCCCTTACCCTTCATCGGAAACTACCTACAGCTGAACACGGAGCAGATGTACGACTCCCTCATGAAGGTACCGCCTGGCCTGAGCTGGCTGCACGCAGGGTGGTGCAGGGAGGCCGCCCTGAGTGCATTGAAGCTGGGAATGGCCAGGCAGGACCAGGCTCTTAGGACAAGGTGGGGGGACCCCCAGGGTCCCAGCTAGGAGATGCCGGATCCTGGGGGTGGGAGGGGGTGTCAGAACCAGTGCGTGGGGGCTGCTCCCTCTAACCCCAGCGCCCCACTCCACCTCACCCTGGTCAGATCAGCGAACGCTATGGCCCCGTGTTCACCGTCCACCTGGGGCCCCGGCGTGTGGTGGTGCTGTGCGGGCAGGAGGCCGTGAAGGAGGCACTGGTGGACCAGGCCGAGGAGTTCAGTGGGCGTGGCGAGCAGGCCACCTTCGACTGGCTTTTCAGGGGCTACGGTGAGGGGGACCCCAGGAGGGATGTGGCCTGGGCAGCTGGGAGGCTCATCTGTCCCCTGGAGGCTATGGCAGGACCCACCCAACCCTGTCTCCCTCCCTGCCCCCTGCATTTCTCCCGCCCTCTTCCAGCCTTATGGCCTTTCTGTCAAATTTTTGTCTTCTTGGGAGGCGTGGGAGAGGAGCTGGGATGGCCGGAAAGGAGGAGTGCCGCTCTCTCTCCCTCCCTAACTCCGTCTTACCGTCTCCCACCGCCAGGGGGCTTTCCAAAGTTGCGGGAGAAGAGAAATAAAAGTTTTCCTTTTGCCCGTCTAAAATTTTCTTTAAAAAATGAAATCCGTGCACAGTGTCTCGGGAGCACTGATCTGCCACCGACACTTTGATAACTTCTATGGTTAATGTTTCAAAATTCCCCCCGCGGGAGCGGAGCTATGGGGACAGGGTGAAGCCATCTCCCCTCTCAATCCCACCTGGACCACCACTTCCCACCTGGGCCTCCAGCTCCCTCCCCTGGGGGATAGGGGAGGGCTCTGCCATCCGCAGGCGACACCCCGTGGAGCTTCTGGCTCCCGCCTGGCCGAAGCCTCAGCTGTTCCACCCATTTGAGAGTGACACCTCTCTCCTTCTCCACTCCCCACCCTTGGGCGCCCCTCTCTGATGCCCCTCTCTCCGCGGGTGTCCCCCGCGCTCACCTCCACAGGCGTGGCGTTCAGTAACTGGGAACGCGCCAGGCCACTGCGCCGCTTCGCCATCTCCACACTGCGGGACTTTGGCGTGGGCAAGCGGGGCATTGAGGAGCGCATCCAGGAGGAAGCGAGCTTCCTCATTGAGGCCTTCCGTGGCACGCGCGGTGAGTGTGGGGCGGGGATGCGGGAGTGTGCGGGAAGGAGACAGGAGGTAGGGCGGGGGACCCCCAGCCCTGGAGCCTGCCCTGGGGAAGGGGCTCAGGGCTCAAGCTCCCGAGGTGACACCCCTCTCCACCTGCCCCCTGCAGGCGCCTTCATCGACCCCACCTTCTTTCTGAGCCGCACCGTCTCCAATGTCATCAGCTCCATCGTGTTCGGGGACCGCTTTGACTACCAGGACAAGGAGTTCCTGTCGCTGCTGCGGATGATGTTGGGGAGCTTCCAATTCACTGCCACATCCACGGGACAGGTGACCCGGCCTTCCCATGCCTCTCCCACCGCCTGCCAGCTGGCACAGACACTCCAAGCTGCCCCAGGCAGCAGCAGCACATCCCACTGATGCCACACTCAACAGCTGCTCCCAAACCGGGGACAGTCTCCCAAACTGAGGACACCTGGGTATCTCAACAGATGCCCTATCCACCCTCCCCCCCCTTTGCAGGCGATCAGGCCCTCCACTCCACTCTGTCACAACAACTCCAAGACACCTCCTCCCCGCATCCTGCTCCATCTGAGCAGCCTCACTTACCCATCTACCCCCAACTCCAGTGGCTGCTTCAGCCCACTTCCTGAGCCCCTAGGGCTGCCAACCCAGCCCCCAGAACAATCTGACCTTGACATGGGTGTCCAGGACCAGCCTCCAGCAAGGTCTAAAACAAGTGCCCCCTCCTCAGCCCACACAAGGACCTGAACGTGAATATCTGGACCAACTGTTCCCCCAAACACCCAACGGTGTGTCCTCCAAGCTAGCCCCCTCCCTCGCCTCACAGAGCTGCCCTCAGGTCACTTCATCTGACCACATGGACAGACGGCTCTCCCAGTTTGACACCTGCATGCTGGCCCTACTCCAATCTCCCAACGTCTGCATAGAAGCCCCCCACATCCCTTTATACGTGTCCAATCAGCATCTGGACATCTTGTCTCTAACCACACCCACCAGAATGCTTCAAACCCTAAGTAGGTGACCCCTCTCTCAAAACAGCCTCCATTGAATTGTCTCCCAAACACCTGTCTACCTCCCAACCCAACCTCACTCCTAGATGGGTGTCCCCTAGTCCTTCTCAACCAAGTTCCTGGGCAACAGTCCTCATGTCCCACCAACAGGATGACTGTGGTAACCAAGGTCCCCCTGCAGCTTCCCCATCTCAATGCCAAAGAGCGGGGACAGGTGCTGTGGCGCTAAGCCAGCGCGTCCCTTGAGGCGCTGTGCACTGACAGCTCCCCCCCCCACACACACACACACCCTGCTCTCTGTCTCCTGCCCCCAGCTCTATGAGATGTTCTATTCAGTAATGAAGCACCTGCCGGGGCCACAGCAACAAGCGTTCAAGGAGCTGGAAGGGCTGAGGGATTTCATTGCCAAGAAGGTGGAGCGGAATGAGCACACGCTGGATCCCAATTCCCCGCGGGACTTCATCGACTCCTTCCTCATCCGCATGCGGGAGGTGTGCCTGGGCAGGCAGCCAGGGGTGCGGGGGGCAGGAGAACAGAGACCCCTCCCCGTGCTCTCCCGTCATGCTCAGCTTCCTAATTCAGTTAGCGGGCGCTGTCACCGCCGAGAGGCAGGACCCATGGGCTTCCATGCAGCACCCTCACCTTCAAAAGCTCCACATGAGGCCCCGGTACAGCCTCAGTTTCACCATTGAGGCAATCCAGGGCCCCCAGAGTTTGCATGGCTTGCCTGGGCCACTCAGCAGGGAAGCAGCGGACTTCAGTTCAGCCCCGGTCCTTCTGGCTCTAGGACTGGAGCACAGGGTCATCTCACTCCCTCACCTGCCATCCCCTGCTTAGCAGATATGCTACATGGCCAGGACTGGGGACCCGGCGTTCCTGGGTGACCTCACACATCTACATGGCAGTATGAGGAAAGGAGGTGGGGCTTGATAGAAACGCCACGACGCCAGAGAGGAGAATCCTGGGTGGGAAGCTGCTTCAAGACAAGGCTGCCCCTTTCAGACTCGCCCCAGAAGGGTGTCCCCAGCGTGGAGACACAGGCTCAGCTGGAGGCCCCTGTCTCCCTGCAGGAGAAGAAGGACCCCAAGTCAGAGTTCAACATGAAGAACCTAGTGTTGACCACACTCAACCTCTTCTTTGCGGGCACCGAGACTGTGAGCACCACCATGCGCTACGGCTTCCTCCTGCTCATGAAACACCCAGATGTGGAAGGTGAGGCAGGGAGGGGAACGGCAGCGTGCTGGCCCTGAAACGCCGCTGGGCCTCCTGCAGGGTCTCCACAGCTCCCAGGCACGACGTGCTGCTTAGAGACGCAGCAGCGCCAGGGAGCCCACCCGCTAGCCCAGCACTGGCATATCTGGTCTGAGCAGCGTGTGGCTCGTGTGCAGAACCACTGCATGCCCACTGTATACCCACCTGCCTGCGCCTTCCCCTGGGTCACTGCCTAGGACACCGCCATGATTGGTTTCACCAGGCCCTGCTCCAAGGCCCATGCAGACCCCTAGCCTGCAGGCCTGCATGCTGGAACTACTACCCCAACCCCGAGACCTGCCGATGCCCAAACCCACCACCACCTCTGCTCGCCACCCCCTCCACCCCCCCCCCGCCAGCCAAGGTCCATGAGGAGATCGACCGTGTGATTGGCAAGAACCGGCAGCCCAAGATCGAAGACCGGGCAAGGATGCCCTACACGGACGCCGTGATTCATGAGATCCAGAGATACGCAGACATGATCCCCATGGGTTTGGCCCGCAGGGTCACCAAGGACACCAAGTTCCGGGACTTCTTCCTTCCCAAGGTGCTGCCCACCACCCAACCCGGGGAGATGCCCAACTCCTGCCCACTCCAGATCACACACCTCCCCCAGCTTCCCACCTCAACAGAAGCCACCCCCCTCATTTCCCCTAGAACTTCCTGCCTTAGGGATCTGAACTCCGTGAACCCCTAAACGTTCCTGTCTCAGAAACAGAGGCCCCAGGTCTGTCCAGGCCCCACTCCCAGAGGCCCCAACTTCAATGTCCCCCTTTCTCTTAAATCCCCACCCCAACCCCTTCCAACACACATTCACTTGATTAACTCCCTCTGCTCACCAGGGCACAGAAGTGTTTCCAATGCTGGGCTCTGTGCTCAGAGACCCCAAGTTCTTCTCCAAGCCCCGGGAATTCAACCCCCAGCACTTCCTGGATGACAAGGGGCAGTTTAAGAAGAGCGATGCCTTTGTACCCTTTTCCATCGGTAAGAGACCAGAGACTACCCAGGGCTGCCCGGTCTCCACTCACCCCAGCAGGGGCCCGCCTCTCCAAGGCTTCACCTCACATCTCTCTGCCATGTAGAAGTTCCTCTTACCCTTTACCCTCAAGCCAGCCAGCTGCAACCCTCAGCAACAACCCCACACCAGACAGGAGAGACCAGCCACCCTCTTCCAGAAATAGGGAGAATCGAGGCCCAGAAACCGTCCCGAGTCTCCTCAGGGACACACAGCAGATGCCTCAGCCTTAGAACAGGACAGTCACACTGGAGAGAGGACACCTGGACTTCCCAAAAGCTCAGGGAGAACAGGATGGGAAGATGGGTTATTCTGGAATGCAAAAAGAAATCTGAGATCCGAGCAGATGAGGGGGTCTTCCCATGGCTAAAACCTGGCAGAGACTGGACAGTGAGTGGGGGTGACTCGGAGCACCCTTCTTGGCGCCCCAATCACGGATGGGCAAACGCAGGAACCGCGGTCTCCTCCCTCCTCTCCTCCACAGGCAAGCGGTACTGCTTCGGAGAGAACCTGGCCAGAATGGAGCTCTTCCTCTTCCTCACCACCATCATGCAGAACTTCCGCTTCCGTTCCCAGCAGGCGCCGCAGGATATCGATGTGTCCCCCAAACACGTGGGCTTCGCCACCATCCCGCGAACCTACACCATGAGCTTCGTGCCCCGCTAGGCGAGGGCGGGGCCAGAGGCGGGGCTAGCGGGGAGGGGGCTAGCGGGGAGGGGGCTAGCGGGGAGGGGGCTAGCGGGGAGGGGGCTAGCGGGAAGGGACTGTGCAGGGGAGGGGACATGCCCACCGCTCTTGGCAGAGTCACGCTAATAACAATTGTTATTTATTATGCAAGCCATCCGTGTGTCATTGGGTGTTTCTGCTAACAACCATACCTGCCCACCTCGCAGGGTGAGGGACAGGGAGTAGGTGGCAATGCTACTCATGCCCACTTTATAGGTGACAAGACCCAGAAAACCTAAATGCCCAGTAGGTGTCTGAATACAGATCTGGGCACCATTCTGAAAAGCCACCCACTTCCTCCAGTGTCTCCTCCTGCAACCTGGGTTGCCCTGGCTGGTGGGGCCAAGGATAGGGTGGTCGCAGACCCCTGGCCAGCAGCTTGCCCCGCCTCACCACACCTTTGCCCAGCTATGTTCACGCCTCAGAGCAGGACTTCCTAGTGTGCTCCCACTGAGTCCAGTGGCTGTGCCCAGCCCAGAGTTGGCCTGTATGTGAAGTGGGCGAGGGAGAGAAGCAGTTTCAGAGAATGCTGGGGTCATTCGTGAGTGTGCGTATATGTGTACACATGCAAGCAAAGATAGGACCACGTGTGTCAAAGTACACACTTGAATACACACTCAAGGTTCCTTAGTCCTGACCTTGAGAAGCAGGAAGAGAAAGATGGTCAGAACACTCACCCCCAGGGGCCAGGGCTGGGCCAGACCCTAGGCCAGAGAGCCAAGACCTCTGACTGGGTCTCAACCACCTGCTGCTACAATCCATGCAGAGCCAACCCAGGATGCAGGGGTCCCAACCTGCGCCTCAGCCAAAAAGCCCACCACCCTTAGGAGCCTCTGGAGGTGGGGGTCTGGTCTGACAGCTCCAACATCCACCATGACACCACAGCTGAGAATCTCAAAGGAGTCAAGTGTGTCCCAGTAGTGGCGGCGTCCTTAAGGGGGGCCCAACCTAAACACCCATGCACATCTGCTTGGATCTCTGTTTCTTAAATTCCACATTTACACACGCGTGCACAGCCCTACTTCAGGGTTGTTTGGGGTCAGGTGATGGGACCACCCTCCGCCCTACACCATGAAGCTTGCTTGCTTCCCCATTCCCGTGTCTGCCCTTGGCCTTGAGTTCCTGACTTAGGCTGCTTTCCCTGAGTGAGGATGAGAATGAACCCACAGCAAGCACCCTGGGTCAGAGTCACATCATATCCCATCCACCTACATGTCTCCTTGAGAACATTCCAGAAAACTCCATGCAGGGAATCTTGGGATTGAGGAAAAGCAGCACTGCCCTTGCCCCTTGCCCCTTGCCCGACCCATCCTCCCCGTCCACCTGGGCACTGGGCACTGGAGGGGCTATATGCGGGGCTTCGTGCCTGTGGCAGGGATGGATACCCACGCTCTGCCCTCTGCCTCACTGGCATGTACGCTGGCCTCATAACTCCTCTTGGTCTCACTGTCTCACCTGCCCTCACCTGTCTCAGCCCAGGACTGGGGAGCTGCACAACTCGATATCTACAGGGTGGAGAGGAGGAGGAGGGGGAGGCGGAAGCACGGGGCCTCCAGGTTCAAAGCACACGAGCAGACGCACACAAGTGCACAGACACACACAGGCACGTCTTTGCTGGCCGTACGTCAACAGCAGGGAGCGTGTTGCTAGGCATCTGCCATGTGCCATTTGGAGCCCCTGCACTGCCGTTACTAAGAGCATGCATGTTGGAAAGGCAGATATACAGATCGGAGAAAAGACAGAGAGGAAGATCTTTTGTCTGATGGTTCACTCCCCAAGCAGCCGCCATGGCTAGAGCTGAGCCAATCTGAAGCCAGGAGTCTGGAGCCTTTTCTGGGTCTCCCATGCAGGTGCAGGGACCCAAGACTCTGGGCCGTCCTTGGCTGCTTTCCCAGGCCACAAGCAGGGAGCTGGATGGGAAGTGGGGTTACCGGAATTAGAACTGGAATCCATATGGGATACTGACATGTTCAAGGCGAGGACTTTAGCCGCTAGGGTATCAGCCAGGCCCTACTTTTTTTTTTTTCAAAAAGCACTTATTTATTTGAAAAGAATTACAGGGAAAGATCTATTTTCTATCCACTGCTTCACTTGCCAAATGGCCACATCAGCTGGGGCTGAGCCAAGCCAATGTCAGGAGCCCAGAGTCTCCCCCATGGGTGCAGTTCTTGAAATAGGATTTATATGGGAGGCCAGCATTGCAGGCAATGACTTCACACTCTGTGCCAAAATCAAACTATCAGCAGTGTTGCGGGGTGTGAGAGATGACCCAGACAAGTCTAGGATGTATTAAGGAGTCTTTATTAACCAAGCTTGGTGATGGCAGTCCCACTAGAATTTAGCAAATTAAAGTCTCCATGATAACCGAATCTGATTTGAAATGCTGAGAAGAACAAATGGCCGTTACCATGAAACCCATCCATGTGGGAAACCTAGAGGATGTCCTGGCACCTGTCAGACCTGCTTGTGGCCTGGGAAAGCAGCCGATGGCTCAAGCTGTCTGTTTCTGAAAAGTCAACACTTTCAGTTTCCAATAAAGGAGGGAAAGCATGTCTCTCTGTGCCTGAGAGATTTCTCTCCGGTTCCACTCCCTGCCCCAGAGCCCCTCACCCCCACCTGCTCTGGGTATGGCACAGGTCAGGGTTTCCCTCTTGGTAGAGCGGAAGGATGCTGCACTGCGTGGATAAGTTCCGCTCTGTGCATCTGTTCAGCAGCGAGAGCTCCGCTCCCTCCCTTGTCTCAAACTCCAGGGCCATGAGTGTTTCAGAACCCCAAATCTTCATTCTCAGACATTTCCCCCAAATGTGCTGGCAGCTTCTTTCTCAAGTGTTGGCAGCTCTCTGCCCAGCAGTGGGAGGAGGAGGTCTTGGAAAATGTTCCAGCCACATCAAGTGTTGTAACAAGTACACAAATCAATAATACTTGAGTCAAATGGGGTCATCCATGTGTGTGTTCTCTTGAGAGGAGGGTAAGGGCTTTTGCCCCAGCGGCCGCTTCTGATCCAGAGATGGCGAGAATTCAACAGGATATGTTCTTTGGACCCAAGAGTTTTTATTGATCAACAATTGGGTGTTTTCACAGCTAAGCTAAGGAAATATTATAAACATCTCTGGCCAAAACAGCCAGAGCTGAGTTGATCTGAAACCAGGATCCAGGAATCTCTTCTGGGTCTCCCACATGGGTGCAGGGTCCCAAGCACTTGAGCCATTCTTTGCTGTTTTCCCAGGCCATAAGCAGAGAGCTGGATTAGCAGTGGAGCAGCCAGGGCTACAATCAGTGCCCATATGAGACACTGGAACTGTCAGGGGGAGAATTAGCTTGACACACCACCACACCAGCCCCATATTTTCCTTTACTTCAAAGGTGGAGCAACAGAGAATGGCAGAGAGACAAAGAGATCTCCTGTCCACCAGTTAATTCCCCCAAATGTCTATAACAGCTGGAGTCAGACCAGGCCAAAGCTAGGAGACCAGAACTCGGTGCAAGTTTCTGACATGGGTGGGCAGAGACTCAAGTGCTTGAGCCATCCCCTGCCAGCTCCCAAGTACACTGCCAGGAAGTTGAGGCAGGACTCGAGCCCAGCTCTGGCATGCGGAATGCTGGTCTCTTGAGCAGCAGCTGCATGGCTGCAACTCTGGGACCTTCCAGAGTCCTCGTGACCCCCGCCAAAGGGACCGAGGAAGTACAGGCCAAGATGAAACGTAGGTGACCTCACAGAGCAAGGTCACCTGCCAACATGCTTTGGATCTGGCGATTTAAGTCTTTTGTCTGTCACACCAACTCCAACCCATCCTGATAAGCACACTGGGTATGGGGGATTATTACTGTGTAAAATACACTGGACGTTGGTAACATTATCCTCCTCTGGGTAAGGAAGCATAGCGGGAGAATTCTCACTTCAAATTCTTTTGTCCCTTCTGGATCTTGGAGCATGCAAATGCATTATCCTGCTCCAGGAGAGAATAATCTAAGTAGAAAGAGCATCTAACTTGACTTCGTACTTAAGCTGGGAGAAACGCCAGGTGCCACCAGCGCAGTTCTGACATTGCACCTGCGACAGTTGAGTTTGGGACCTCTGCAGGCTGAAATGAAAAGGACCAGTATTAGGGTCAGCACTCTAGCGGTAAAGCATCCCCTATGGATGCCAGTTCATGTCCTGGCTACTCCGTTTCCCATCCTGCTCCCTGCTAATGCACCCGAGGAAAGCAGCAGCAGATGGTTCAAGTCTCTGGCTGCCTGCCACTCACCTGGGAGACCAAGATGAAACTCCTGGCTCCTAGCTTCTGGCTTTGACCTGGCCCAGCCCTGGCTGCTGTGGCCATCTAGGGAGTAAATCATCAGATGACAAATCTCTTTTTTTGTCTCTCCCTCTCTCTGTTTGTAACTGTGACTTTAGAATAAAATAAGAAAATCTTTTTTAAAAAATTCCACACAGAAATGGGAGCCAAGATTGTAACCAGCCCAGGAGTTTGAACAGATGTGTGTGGGACAGACAAGTGGAAGAACAGGACTGACACCCGCAGGAAGCCAGGGCCCCCAGGGGCTGTGCAGCCAGTGGCCAGAGGAGTCATGGAAACCCTACCTTGCAAGGCATTCTAAAATGACAAGGAAACCACTCTGTCCCTGCCTTGAGGGAGCCTGCCCTCTGTTTTTGTAACCTTTGGGACAGAGCCAAGTCACCCTCCAACAGTGCCAGCTCAAGCCGCCTCACTCAGCCACCAGCCAGAGGGTGGAAAGATGAAGCAAAGCCAGAGGAGGTGCCTGGCTGCCCAGCACAGCCACAAGGACTATGGGCTTCACCTATTACCTGGGGTTCTGTGGTTGTGCACAAAGAGAGCCCTGTAGTGACAAGAGCTAAGGTCACGGACACGCAGGCTGCAATGACAGCTTGAACGTCTGCAAGGGGACAGGGAGGAAACATCAAGGAAGCTGCTGTTGGAGGGAGGAGCAGAGTGAC